CACCAGAGCTCCTGTTTCAGCGACACGCGGCAAATTTCCAGGCGAGTTTCTCCATGATACAGAGGCATTAGTTATATTTAAAGGGCAGGTTTATTAGGGAAAGGGATGGAAGAATGAAGGACACTTGCATAGACTCAAGCAGGCAGGAAGAGCTGCCCCAGAAGGGACAGGTTTGCTGAGAGAGGTCTGCATGGTTGCAGGCGGGCGGCCTTAACAGGTCATGGGCAGTCAGGGAGCTGCTGCCCTGCAGGAGAGAGTTGGTGAAAAGAGGCACCTGCCTAGGCACAGGTGGGGCAGTTGGAGTGCTGCCCCCAGCCACTGCAGACACTGCACTGACCTACTCTTCTGTTTGAGAGGGACTCACTCCTTGTGAGCTGTCAGTTGGCTGCTAATTTTGGGTAACTGCAGAATCTGAAAGGGACCAGAGATTCCACAATGGGCTCAATCTCCATATCTTTACCTTTGGTGTCAGTTGGGCTCAATCTCCATATCTTTACCCTTGGGCCTGTGCTCCAAACACTCCCAACAGCAGTTTGATCCCTGCTTGGATCTTATGCTTTGTAATCTAGGCATCTGTGCCTAAGGATACTAGTTTCCATAGCTGTATCAATGGCTATGCTAATTTTTTCTCCCCCCACCTCCTTGTGAGCCAGATTTCTGGTCTAGTGGTGCACCTCCTTTTCAGTTTTTTTTCTATTCTTGTCCTCTATCACCATCACTGAGGATGGGGCTGGATGTGACAAAGGTCGTTTATTTTTTGCACAGCAAGACCACACTGCTTCCCATCGGCACACTGAGTGAGTCTATGTACCTTGGTGGGCAGCTGGAAGCTTGGAATTGTTGCATTTTTAAATTGCATTCCACTGTTTCCAGCTGGACTTCATTCTTATCCTCTGCTTATGTCCCTACGACTTTCCTTGTCTTATGAATGGATTTTCCCATCTTAATGTATTTCTAACACAGTGACATCTTTTGTTGCCAATGGCCAGTGTCAGGGTTAGGAAACATGTGATAAGTCACACATGTCTGTAGGGTTGTTTTGATTACTTACGAATGCTGGAGGAAAAATGTTATGGAAGAAGGATGCTTTGTAGATGCAAGCTATCAAATTCTAATTAGAATAAAGATATTTTCAGCAGGGATTATGTGAATGACCAGAAAGAGTTCAGGGCATAAGAACTGGATGAGACATGTTATTCCAAAGCAGGTAAAAAAAAATGTCATTAACAGTAAATTGATAAAGAGACTTCCACATTAAAACGTCTCTAATATTGATGAGACATTAAAAGAGATGAGAAATATTAAATTAATAGTTTAGAGGATAATGTGAACTATGTTTATTAGTAGTATGTTTAGAGGAGCAAAGTTTAACATTCAACAAGGCAGGTGGGATACGGTTGGTTGAAATCAAGGTCATGTCATTTCTGCCTGGGAAATAATTTTCTATACTCATAATGCTTCTCCTGAAATATAGATCTTTTGCCCTAGGCTTCAAAAACATGATATTCATCCTTTGAGCTAAAGGGAACATTGATTTTATTGCATTTATTAAGTTATCTTTTTTTCTGTTTACGCATTTCCATTTAGATCTGAGAACACAAACATCAAAAAAGCTTGAGTCCACTTATTTAAATGTTTAGTGAGTTCTTTGTCAAACTTGAGCTCTCTAAGAATTTCAAAGATAGTGGATTAGTTTTTAAAGATTTATTTATTTATTTATTTATTTATTTATTTATTTATTTATTTATTTATTTATTTACAAGTGTTAGGGGGAAAAGGATGTCCCAAAGCTAATTTCATACAGGCTTTGTGGACTCCACCCCCACCCCAGGCCAAAGCCAAAGACACTGGGAATTTCAAATCCCATCACCACCAAAGGGAAGGTGGCTGGGACCTGAGGGTGGGGTTAAGCAGCCAGGTGGAGATAAAAGGCAGACACCTGGGTTTTGTGGATTCCCCATTTTTGGCTCTCGGCCAGCTCGCAGCGTCCGGCCAGCTCTGAGAGTGACTTTGGGTTTTTAGGTCGTAGGATTGGGTAGGACGCATTAAAGACTTTATTTTCCTATTTTTTTCTTGAGTTGTATTTTTTTTTTTGTAAATAAAAGGTTTATTTACAAGAGAAAAGGAAATAAGGAAAATGTACAACTCAGGGAGAAAATAGGGAAATAAAGTCTTTAATGCGTCCTACCCGATCTGATGACCTGGAAACCCAAAGTCACTCTCAGAGCTGGCCGGACGCTGCGAGCTGGCCGAGAGCCAAAAATGGGGGATCCCCAAAACCCACGTGTCTGCCTTTTATCTCCACCTGGCTGCTTAACCCCACCCTCAGGTCCCAGCCACCTTCCCTTTGGTGGTGATGAAATTTGTAGTTCCCAGTGTCTTTGGCTTTGGCCTGGGGTGGGGGTGGAGTCCACAAAGCCTGTATGGAATTAGCTTTGGAACATCCTTTTCCCCCTAACGCAAGCACTGGGTACAGTCAGAAACCCGCGGGAGGGTGAGAGAATTCACCAGAGCCACAGAGAGGAACAGAACAGGCAGACTGACGAAATATACTGCTGAGGGGAGCAGCGGGCTCAGCAGGAGAGGTCTGTCGCACCATGTGGGACCCTCGCTGGCAGCCTGGGATTGAACCGGCTCTGCAGAAGCTGTGGGCAGCTTTGCAGCCCAGAGCTCAACTGCTGCGCCACCAGGAGAGGCCCAGATAGTGGATTTTGGATGATTTCATCATTGGCCAAAAACTCAGTGAAATTTCACAAGTAGATGTCCAGTTCCAAAAACAGATAGCAAATGACTTCTGGTTGCCAGCTGTTCTCTTAACCGATTCTTTAGTAGTCATTTGTGGCCAGGGATACCACAAAGATCATGTTAAATGTGTGATATTTGTGTGTGTGAGAACCAGATCAGATAGCTTCAATGTTGAGACAGGTCTTCCTAAAAGCTGAGAAGCTACTGATGAAAATCCCCATTCTAGTTACCTTTATGGACAATAATGATTATTTCTAATTGTTTAAATCAAATAATATGTATGCTTTGGCTCCTTGCGTGAGCACCACCCCAGATGAACCATTCTTTAAGCAGACAGCACTCCAGATCTGTGCTCAGGAGGGTACCACTTAATTGATGAATCTGTTTTTCTGGTCCTTCAAGGAACCTGTTCAGCAATTTCCTAAGAACTTGCTATTTCAGTAGCCTATGGAAGTTGCCTGATGTAGTGGAAGAATTTTGAATTTGGAGCAAGATGCAAGGCCCATTTTTACTTACTAGAAACCCTTTTCTGGATTGTACAAGCCCCTCCCTAGCTGGGCTGTAGTGTGTGGTAATTCCAGCCCAGCCTACCTCTCCAAATTGTGAGAACAAAAGGCATCAGGAATGAACACACTTTGAAAGGCACACTTGTTGCAACTCTGCATGTTTTATAGATGCATCACTCTGGCTGTTTCATTCTCTTCAGTGATTCTGTTTCTGCTCTCCAGCTTTCTCTGTCCTGCTCCTTAAAATACACTCCGCCCATTTCAAATGCTCAGGGAAAATCTACACTGGCATTTCTTGATGTGCATACTATGGAAATACATGTTAAAATAAGTTGACTCTATGGCCAAATGGTCTGAGAAATTCTGAGAGAAAGGACATTAGGAAAAGACCCTTCACTGAGTGCTGCATGTCTTAGCATGTGAACACATTGTTGGTATCCAAAGGTGAATAGCTATGGCACAGTTACCCACGACAAGTCAGATCCATCGGTGTAAGCCCCCACCATAAAAGCACCTGTCTCGCAGTGGGCACAGCTGGCTTTGAAATGCGTAAGGGATCACAGATGAAGAAGTGGCATTTGCATGCTCCAGGAATCTTACCTTTCACATCTGGGGTGCTCAGCGGACCCATCACCTCTTCCTTAAATGAGTTAGCAATAAAAGGTTAGAAACAGGATATTTAAATACCACTAGCATCCCAAATCACATTAGTGCAAACAGACAATCAGAAAACATGTTTCCTCATTGATATGTAAAACTGCAGTATGAATGCCCCAGATCTAAGGAGGACTTAGGTTCCTGCCTGCAGCAGTATGATGAATACTCTGATGTTTATCTTTTCAAGCCCCTCTCCCCTTTCCTCTTCATCTCCAGCCTTGATCCAAGGGTTCCGGGAGTGGCTGGAAGACAATACTGTCACTGCATACCTCCCTACTCCCACTAGGAAATCTACAAACTGTTTCCTTGATGTGGTTGCCATTCTCTCCATGCAACTGTATGGGTGTAAACCCTGAGATCTCTAAAACCAACCCGACTGTGAAAGGGTGTGAAGGAGCATGGTCCCATTCCTAGTCTCCCAGGCTGGTGACAGAACATCTAGAGCACCAATACTCTGGGTGGGGTCAGTAATGGCAATTGCAATTAACTAGAATTGTGTGGATGGTGATTTTTGTAGTACCTGTGTTAAGAAATGAGTTATAGGGAAACTAAATGAGAAACAGAACATGACGTGTTCTTTTCTTCTTGTTGCCCAAGTTCACAGTTGCTGCAAGGTGGGGAGCCCCTCCCCTCCCTCCAGCACCCCCACCCTTTTTGGGAGCACTCAGAGCAGAGCCAGGCAGGACAAGGCTAATAGGTGGGACTGTTTCTGGGTAGGTATCTTCCCTAGACTTGCCTTTGGGAGCGAGAAGTCCGTCCTGAGATGGCTGCTTTGTGCTATTTCTTCTCAGTGTTGGTGCATTTCTGGTACATTTCCATATGTCCTCAGGTGCTAGAGGGTGATGGGAGCAGAGCCTGGGAGCTGTCCACCTGCAATGCCAGAGCAGGGTTTGGGGTCCCTGCATGCCATCCTCAGGACACAACTTCTGCCATAGTTTGTAAGGCTTGGTCATGTATTTATAGTCTTTCTTACCCCAGAACAAACCCCAGTGGATTATCCATGCTAATGATTTCCAGCAGCAGGGCCAAAGTGGTCTCCATGGTGATGATTTACGCTTGGGTCTCCTAGGAGACGATTACACGTGTGGCAGACTTCAGATTCCTTTTATTTCCCACAATGGGAAATGATTTTTCTTTTCACACTGAGCCATGCCCAGAATTTGTAAGATAAAATTTAATATTTTCTAATAATTTCTCCCCCCATGGTGTGAAATGATGAGCTATTCTAAAGGGGAAAGAAATGCTTAAAAGGTAAGAAAAAAAAAAACATGCTCTTTCTTAATTGTATTATAAATAATCAGAAAATGATGAGCCTGAAGTGAGGTAATAGAAGGCCTTCGTGTTGTGTTTTAGGGTGAGTCTGGTTCAGTGAGTTGAGTTCTCTGTTTAAATCTGGTATTTGCTTCCATTTCATCTCAGATGATTTATAACACAGCTCTGGTTGGAATGGGTTTAAGATCATGTGGGACTTCACACGGTGCACAGAGGAGCAGACTAAAATCTTTCATTGTCTGGAACATGGATAATTTGTTCAATAAAGGGTGCTGGGCAAACTGGACCACAACATGCAAAAAAAAGAAACTAGACCACTACCTTTCACCACGCACAAAAATCAACTCAAAAGGGATAAAAGAACTGGACATAAGACCTGAAACCATAAAATGCTTAGAAGAAAATATAGATAAAACACTACAAGACATACATCACAGTAACATCTTTAAAGACTCATCACCCAGGGCAAAGAAAGTCAAGGAAAAGATAAACACCTGGGATTACATTAAACTGAAAAGCTTCTGTACACCCAAAGAGACATTAACCAAAACAGAGAGACACCCCACTGATTGGGAAAAAAATCTTTGCACTTCAGTCAACTGATAAGGGACTGATCACAAAGATATACAAAGAACGCACACAGCTCAACAAAAACAAAATAAACAATCCAGTCAAGAAATGGGCAGAAGAACTTAAAAGACATTTCTCCAAAGAGGAAATGTAAATAGCCAACAGGCATATGAAAAAATGTTCAACATCACTTGTAATCAGGGAAATGCAAATCAAAACTACCATGAGATACCATCTTACACCAGTGAGAATGGCACATATTAAAAAAAAACTAGTAACAACAAATGTTGGCGAGGATGTGGAGAAAAAGGAACTCTTCTGCACTGTTGGTGGGAGTGCAAACTGGTCCAATCACTATGGAAAGCTGTCTGGAGGTTGCTCAGTCTACTAAAAATGGAACTACCATACCACCCAGCAATTCCACTCCTAGGGATCTACCCAAAGGACACAAAAACATTGATTCAAAAGAACACCTGTACACCTATGTTTATTGCAGTGCTATTTACAATAGGTAAAACCTGAAAACAACCCAAATGCCCAAGATCGATGACTGGATCAAGAAGAGGTGGCACATATACACAATGGAATATTATTCAGCAATCAAAAAAAAAGATAAACTCATGCCATTCGCAGCAACGTGGATGGAGTTAGCAGGAATTACACTCAGTGAAATAAGCCAGAAGGAAAAAGAAAAAATATCAGATGGTTTCACTTATAGCAGGAATACAGGGGAACCAAATAAGACATCAGTGTAAAAATATAACAGTACAAAACATAACAAAGCAAAAACAATTATAAATCAGAGACATCCTGCAGGGGAGGAGGCAGGAGAGGGATCAGAGGGAGGGAGGAGCACAGGGGACTGAGGTGATGGTGCACGGGTGCCTTGGGGAAGGAAATTCTATGGGGACTACACCTGAGGGGGTGGGGGGAAGCAAATATTGTTTAAAAATGAACAATGATGTAAAAAATTAAAAAATTAATATAAAAAAGTAAAATCTTTTATTGTCACCAAAGTCGCTGCTTTCCCAGTGTCATCGCCAGGGAGAGCTTCCTGTCCAAACCACAGTAATATATCCCGTGGCCAAAAAATTCCATTTATCTGAATTTCAGACACTGGTGTAGCAGATCTCCTGAGGGGACACCCCAGTGCTCCCCTGAGGGGTCAGCACTGAAACATAGAGATGGGACAGTCCCAGCGATCTTGGCAAACCCATCTCCATGCATGTCTGCACAGAAACCTTACGCATTTTTCATGAAAACAAGAACTGGTTCATCTCATGCTCATCCACAAGAGGGCTACCTGTTATTATTCCTTGTTCAAGATCTTTCTGCGGCACTTCAGAAAGACAAGGAGGCAGGTAGTTTGGATCTGATAAAGAGGGGGTCGAGCAACTGTGGACCACAGCCTTGCTCTGCTGGAATCAGTGTAATCCAGCATGGGCTTCTGAGCATCCGCGACAGACCATGTCTCTACAGCGTGCCAACCTCTTCCTTCCATTCATCTAACCAGAGAAGCAAACATTAAGCTACACGTGTAATAAGTAGGGGGAGGGCTGCTCTACAGAGGCATGTTCTGAATGTTTGGAAGCTCAGAGAAGGGAACGGTTATTTTTTTCTTTTTCTTTTTAATTTTTTTTTATTCCCCATACAATTGCAACCCCCTTATTTTGACCCCAATCCCTTCTTTCCCCGCCCTGCCCCCCCATAGTGTGTCTCTGGTTCATAGTTGATTGTTCATTTTGATTTTTTCTTTCTTATAGCTATTCCTTTTCCTGGTCCTTTATTTAGGTTTTCTAGATTCCTGCTATGAGTGAGACCATCCGGTATTTTTCTTTTTCTTTCTGGCTTATTTCGCTGAGCATAATCCCTTCCAGCTCCATTCATGTTGCTGCAAAACTGCATATGTTTATCTTTTTTGATTGTTGAGTAATATTCCATGGTGTATATGTACCACATCATCTTGATCCAGTCATCTATTTTTGGGCATTTGGGCTGTTTCCAAAGCTTAGCTATTGTAAGTAGTGCTGTGATAAACATAGGGGTGCAGGTGCCCTTTGGAATTACTGTTTCTGTGTCCTTTGGGTAAATACCTAGGAGTGGAATTGCTGGATCATATGGAAGCTCTATCTTTAGTAGGTTGAGGAATCTCCACACAGCTCTCCATAGTGGTTGGACCAGTTTGCACTCCCACCAACAGTGCAGAAGAGTTCCTTTTTCTCCACACCCTTGCCAACATTTGTTGTTGCTAGTTTTTTTAATATGTGCCATTCTCACTGGTGTGAGATGGTATCTCTTTGTAGTTTTGATTTGCATTTCCCTGATGACAAGTGATGTTGAACATTTTTTCATATGCCTGTTGGCCATTTGCATTTCCTCTTTGGAGAGGTTTCTTTTTAGCTCTTCTGCCCATTTTTTGACTGGATTATTTTCTTTGTTTTTGTTGAGTCTCGTCAGCTCTTTGTAGATTTTTGTGATCAGTCCTTTATCATTAGTGTTGTGTGCAAAAATGTTCTCCCAGTTGGTGGGGTTTCTCTTTGTTTTGGTTATTGTCTCTTTTGCTGTGCAGAAGCTCTTTAGTTTAATGTAGTCCCAGCTGTTTATCTTTGCCTTCACTATCACAGCTAAAGGAAGCAGATGAATGAAGGTTGCAGAGAAAATGTAAAATTTGAACTGGTTGTCGAAGAACAAGTTTAAATTCCATGATCCATTCCATGATCCAGGTGGGTGGCTGCAGAAATTGGGTTCAGGTAGACAAGAATTGCTGTGCCAAAGTGCCTTGCATGGGAAATCAAATCTCCAAAGGAGTGAAAACCGTCTCCCTCTGGGATCCAAGCTATTTCTCTGTAGCTGTACTTGCACGCTAGTTGTCCATCTCTTGGACTGTGTTAAGGCCTCCCAGGAAGCAAAGCTTTGATTGGCATATAAAACATATTCATATTTGTTGAATATTTCATTTTTTTGAAAACAGATGAAATAAAAAGTGACTGAATTTCAGTATAATGCATGAAAAAAAATACATTTCATCTGTTGACTTCAAGTTGATCAAGAGTTTTTTAGAACAGAACACAGATTTCTGGTTCTTTTTATTTATTTCTGGTTCTTTTTATTTCTGGTTCTTTATTATTATTTTTAAACAGTTATAAAGCTTGTGGGAAAAAAATGACTTATTAACCCCTAAATCTCAGGTCTGGCTAGCTGTTTCTCCTTGCTTTTACAGGAAATGCAATAACTGAATCTGACATGGTTGGCATAAAACTTTCTTAATCCAACTGCAATTGGAGAAACTCACTGTTTTGGTAGATATTGTGATGTGTGACCCACATGTGCACACACACACACACACACACATGCATACAAAGGAAGTGTTCACTGTCATGCAGTGTTGACAGATTAGAACTTTATAGTTAAGTGCTGATATCAACTAAAAGAGAAACAAGGGCTTCAAGAATCATTACTATTTATATCACATCTCTCTTCCATTTTCTGTCTTCAGCCAGTTACCTGGGATGAGGTTTAGACCTTTTAACTAGATGAATTACTCAATATTCTGGCACATCAACCACATACGCAAATGACAACAAAAAATATAACTGTTAGACCCAAACAAAAATAAAGTGAAATCATTTTGCAGTAAATATCAAACAACAATTTCATAGTATGCAACTGGAATTAAAAACTAACACGAATACGGTGCTTATAAAATATCAGATGTACAGAGCAGTGATGCAGACACAGAGTCTGTAAGCTGCACCCAAACGCTTGGGGTACTTTTTCCCCCACAGGACTATCAGGAGGGTCATTAGTATGAGCAGAAAACAGGGAATAACCAAATCTTTAATATTTTGTGTCAATAAAAAGACCCTAGTTTAATGAGCCCATACTTAGAAAGAGAGGGATGGAGGAGGAAAAGGAAGAATCTGAAAAGAAAACAAAAGAAAGAAAAACAACTCTAAGGCTACAGAAAGGAAGAAAATAACCCTGGGACTCCAGTAGCTCCAACAAGACACACACAGCTGCATAGAAGGAATTCCTCTAAAGTCCGCATGTGTTTCTAGGCTGACGGTGACCCCTGAAGATAGGTAGTAGTGCCCAGAACAAGAATATTGAAAGTAAATTAACTCTATTAACAACAGTATGCACTTTGTCCAAGGTTAATAATACTAAATAGAGATGTAAGATTCTATCCCAACCTGTCTTGATTCTGTGACTTGTGTTCTTACCCATTGCAAAATGTGGTTACAAATTTAGTTTCGAAAATCTGTAGAGAAAAGCAGACTTTGATTCATGCTTTTCAAAGAGTGGTTTATAGACCATTTGTATCCAATGACATGGCGTCATTTTGAAATACAGATTCTTGGGTCCAACCCCAACCCAATGAATCAGAATATCTGAAGTAGAGCTTAAGAAAATACATTTTTAACACTCTGGTTAATTCATAAGCACACTAAAGCTTGGGACCCACTGAGTAAGCCAGCAATAAAGAAGCATTGAGAATATACTGCAGGGGAGACCAGCACACTGGGTCAGAAGAATGAGGCACGTCAGTGTGGCCTCCATTTACTATTAAGGATTCAGTGCATTCTTGAATTTTATTCTGTACCTTTACCAGTGTTTAGATTCTTCTCTTTATAATAAGCCACACACTGACATTCTACCTGAGGGTTTCCTGTTTTGGGGGCTGTTTACTCACTCGAAGACCAAATTTGATGCCAATAACCCAGTATTACATCGTCACATGAATATTTTATGTTGTCATTTGAGCACAAGATTCTTTGACATTGCTGAAATAGCTGCAACTAATTATTGAAATTAATCTTGATAATTTTATTCCAAGTATACTTCTTTGGAGAGTTATATATAATTATTCAATTAAATATGTATGCTTAAAATAGTAGCCAGTTCTAAGCAATTGCATTGGAGCACCATGAAGTCATTTTAGATAGTAAGAAGAGCGTCATGCAAAGCTTGCAATTAAATGTTATTAGCATTTCAATAAAGCCCACATGCAACTTTGGGACGCTGTCATCTTTTGACCAATGCAGAATTAGAGGTTCACCAATTTTCTCTTTTAGCACATGAATTTTATTTATTTTTTAAAAATAAATATTTATTTATAATTATTAAATAAATAAATATTTATTTATGCATACAAGAATTGGGGTGTAAGCCAGAGGTGTGGAGGATGAGAGGATTCACCAGAGAAAGTGGGGAGCAAAATAGGCAGATCTACTGAAATACACTGCTGGGGGGAGCAGTGGGCGAGTCAGGAGAGGTCTGCTGCACCATGTGCGTAGCTCCCTGGCCTGGCTGGCTGGGGATCAAACTCATGCTGCAGGGGCTGGTGCTAGCTTGATAGCGCTGTGCCACCAGGAAGGCCCCTAGCACATGAATTTTATATGATGTTATTTACAGTTGTGTGTGTGCTTTCGGGGAGGGGAATTTATCCAAATCTATATATTTTATGTTACATTTTGTTTAAGACTTTGTTTTAGTTGTGTCCTGATGGTACAATGATTCACAATCACTGAACACTATTTCCAGTGGGTAGAAGGAATTTTCTGACAAAGACACTGAGATTAGGAAAAGATGGAGATTTGTGATATAACATCGAAACACATTCTAGATAGATAATTCCACATTTCATGTAAAACAACAGTGTCCCCTGAAGAGAAATATGTCCCACCAATAAAAGTAGCAGTGTACCTCTGTGAAATTATGCTGACATTTGGTTTTCTTTGATGATGGAAATGTTCTGTATCTGCTAATATAGGAACCACTAATCACACTGAGCTCTTGAAATGTCCCTCATACAAATGAGGAGCTGAATTTAATTTGACTTCATTTAAATTTAAATGGCCCGTATATGACTTATGACTGCTGGTCGCTCTGCATCGTAGAATATTCCAAGACACTCCCTGTCACTATTCTAACACGCTATCTTTGGAAAATATGTATGTAAGAAGGTTAGAAAAGTGGTATATAAAGGGTTTCCTAAAGGAGTTTACACAAAAGAAAATTTAACATATAAATTAATGTTGCACAATTTTATACAATAACAGGATTGAAAATCATTTTCAACTCTGGAAAATAAACCAGTGTCAAGCTGTCCTGTGGTCATCACGTTAGTGCCACTGGGCTGGAGTAAACATACAAATGTGCTAATATTTGGTTAATAGTTGGTCTCCTAAAACGTCTAGAAGTTCATATTGTCAATAATTAATCCCAAGACAAGAAATGAAGACGTTGTCTTGGGTGAGGGGGAAAAAATCCACATTTCTTATTCTCTTTGGGATGAGGATGATCTGGGGTTCTCTCATCCTTTGCTGTATACATAATTGTATGTTGACAATTCTTTCAGCACATAAAAAATGTGTTTCCCCACTTCCTTCAGGCTGCCATACTTTCTCACGAGAAATTTTACTATTTTCCCCTATAAGTTAGGTGTTATTTTTTTCTCTCACACCTTTCAGGGTTTTTTTCTGTTTGACTAGCACTGGTCTTGGTGTTGATCAAGACAGTTTCATCCTTTCTGTGGTCCTGCGGGTTTATGGTTTTAGTAGAACTTGGGGTGTTTTCAGTCATTATTTCTTTGAGTGTTTTCTCAGCTTCTCCCTCACCAGGAAACCTTCATTGTCACTTGAGGGAAGGTGTCTCTTCGTTGTGAAAGGTAGGATGGGGCCCCTCCGGGACTCCAGTAGACGCCTGTCAGTCACCATGGCTGCGATGCATGGGTGTGTCTCCATGGAGATAGAGGCTGTAGTGTGGTCAGTTGGGTAACAGAACTGCCCTGTCTGTATACCAAGAAGCCTCCTCTGACATGGCCTGTCGAGAAGGGGACGTGCTCATGCCACTGTGGAGGCCAAAAGTCCAGGCACTGATAGGGTTTCCACTGACACGGTGGACACTATGATCTCACGGCCACCCATCTGGGATAAGAGTCTCTGAGCTCTATCAGCCTATCCTGACACCATCCAAGAGGAGGGATGGGGTCCCATTTCAGTCTAGTGCGGGGGAGGTTCGGTTCCCCACTGGGCTGTTGCTATGCCAGGTGGATGTGGGTCTGCAGCATTAATCTAAGTAAGCATTTAGCAGAATGATTATTTTGTGAAAGTTTTCTGTCCTGCCCGGCCACCCTCTCCTGGTCCTTGACTAGAAAGGGCAGGATTTTCTTGGGGCTCCTGTTGACACTTCTGCTCATATATCTCCAATCTGGGATCTATGAGGCAAGAAAAAATCTCAGAGAAAGCACTGCCATGTCACGCCTTGGTGTCCTGGTTTACAAGACTTTGCAGTGTCTTCTAAAAATGCTGGGAGGGATAAGAAAAGACATATAGGCTCCATCTTTTCAGAAGTGGAAGTAACCAATAAGATATTTTTAATTTAATTTTTTTTAAATGAAAACATACAGTTCTTGTTAGAGACCAGACATCATTCTGAATTATGTTTTATTCCCACAATGACCTTTTAAGGCAGATGGTTTTTATTAGCCCAGTTTTGTGAAAACTTGTGTGTCTATGTTTATGGCTTTTGTAGAATTTGGAATGTTGTGAGCCATTATATCTTGAGTGCTGGGAGATGACCCTTGGGGTCTAATGAGAGGAGTTTTGTATGACTGAGGCCATAGGCCAGGCTATGTGGATGAGACCAGTTTATGCTAACAATGTGGCTTATTGTGTCACCTGGTGTATATCTGAGGCTTTGAGTCAGGTTGGTTTTGATTCTGACTTCTGAGGGTGTTGAAGACAGAGTAGCTGAGGTCTTATGGTTACTATATACCTACACTACTGACCCCCCATAAAAGTCCTGTACATCAGGGGAGTTTCCCTAGTTGCAAAGGCCTTTCCCATGTTGTCATACATCATTGCTAAGCGGAGTGAGCACTTTGAAGGCCACTCTGCACCTCCCAGGACAACAGAAAGTATGTGCTTTCTTTTTGTCCCTTTTCTGGCTTTGATTTGTGTCCTCATAGCAATAAATACTAATTGTGCTGTAGTAGGCAACCAGGGGAAGGACAGGCAGGGGGCTGGGGGGCCAGGTCCTCTTTCTCTTTGGGCTCTCTCTGGTGTTGTCTCATGGTCTCTTCCTCTCATAGCCGTCGCTCATTCTCTCGTAGCCACTCTGCTGCCATAGCTGTTCCCTGTGTGATGCCGCCCTTGTAGCCTCAACCTCAGGCCTGGGTGTGCACCTTGTGCATGCCCACACCATACTCCAGGTTCCCACGACCAGGCATGCGTGCCCCGAACCACACTCCCAAGTGTCTTCTGCATGCAAGGCCACAGGTGATATCCACAGAGTAGGGGCGTAAAAGCCTGACCAATCTTCACTTACCTTACATGTGCATAAAATAGATTCTTCTGAGTCCAATGACTCCTTCTAGAATGTCCTCAAACCTGGGAGTGATTGTGGGCACTGCCAGCAAGCCAATCCAAATATATAGTGTGGGAGAAAAAAATCATATTTTTCTAGATTTGTTTTCCTCACCACCCTCAGGGGCTCACTTCTGCGGTGTCAGGGGTTCAGGGGTAAATGACTGCATTCTTAAGTCTGCCTGTGCTTCTCTCCGATGGGATACATGAGAGAAGACAAACCAGTGGCTTCCTATAAGTCAATTCTTTTTTTTCTTTACAGTGATATCTTAAATCCTCACTATTCTCACTCCCAGATATCCCCTTCCCTTGAAAACTGAAAAAATTGATCTTCCCTAATTTGGAAGAAAACTCCCCCAAACTATCAAGTCTGAATCTTAAGGAGGAAGATATTCTTCTGACACTATCACAATGAGCTTACTTTGAGTCAGTAGGACTAACTCCAGGTTTGTGGCCTGTGACAGAGAATTGAGTTTCCATCTTATGCTGATTCTCCATGCCATAGATCTCAAAATTATATTAGAAATGAACCAGAAGACAGTTCATTATTGCAATCATTGGGATAGTGAATGCATCATCAACTCTTACATTCAGGAAAGATCATTGTGATTATAAAAAAAAAAATTATCACTGTATAACTTAAGCCTGATAAAGTCTATAAAGTAGTCATCAGGTTTACCTTTTTTGGGTGCATTTTCTCATTCACCTTTGGGAGCACCCCACTTCTGCTCTAGGACCCAAGGACCCATGACATTCACAAGCACGCCTATGTCCTTCCTGTATTTCCCATATCAGGATTCAGACCAAAGCGAGTTCTCTGGCCTGCAAACTTCAGTCTGACTCTTCCCCCCCCCACCCCCCGTGGGCCTCTCTAGGGAGTGTGTTCTTCTCAGACATCAATTCCAGAAGGATCATTGGGCTATTAAAATTAATTAATAAAATTTTTGTAATTCATTTTCATAATATTAATCTCTTAATTATCCTGTAAGCAGCAATTATCAAGCTCATGGCTCTTCTGCCTCCACCTCCAAGACTTATACATGGAAATTAGCATTTTAACCTGGAGTCTGCTACTTTACTGAGAACCCAGGACCTCGAGGTAATTGGAAATTACATTTCATTCAAGGGCAAGTGAGTGGGTGGAATTTCATCCCCGAGAGCTTGGTTCTGGGTTGCTATTTTGGTGATTTGGGAGAAGTCTGGTTGGCCAACCATGTCCAAACCAGCATATCATTTACTGCTCCTGAATTTTGCTCCTGAATCTATATACTGTCCATGATTATTGACAGTGTAGGATGTTAAAATTGCTGTTAAAAACACTGTGCCCTTATATCACCCCCTGCTGGCACTGGCATGCGTGCACTGTGGACAGAGTCTAATGGTAGGGGTCACGGAGCTCTTCCAAGGCCCCCACTCACTCATTCACTCTGCTGAGGGGAGGGAGGGTTTTATCTGACTTAATGCAGAAGAATGAACTGGGGGTGCTCAGTTTGGGTCTGTTCTCTCCTCCTGTGTGTCCACAGGGCACACCATTTCCCTTCCTGTCTCACTAATGGGGTAAGCAGGGACATGTGTGTCTCTTAACGTAGTACAACTGCAGAAATCCTCATGCCCACAGGTTTAAGCCATATCTTTCCATATTTAGTGCTGTTCCAAAAAAGATCCTATTTTGATTCTCCATCTGATGTCTTTTGGTTAAATTCTCAGTTGGTTTAGATACCAAGTGGATTAGGAGGACATCTTGGGATGCTTAAACCCAGTTCTTTCCACTGCTTGGTGGGCATTAGAGACTTGTCTTTATGGGAGCAGAACACTGAACAATCCCTAGTGTGTGGTAACTGTTGCAACTGTATCACATACCCAGTTTCCACCAAGAAAGACTGAATTTTATTTTATGTATGAAATCAAATAACATAATTATAATAAATTGTTGTTCCATATCCTAATCTAAAATTATTTAAAAGTTTACTTTTGGTAACAAATAGCCTCTCTGTATCTTCCCTAGATCTCAAAATGATGCCTAAATCATAGTAAGCATCTGCTCAATGTTGGTGATGATGTCCCACCAACTGAGCAACTAAGATTGCTGGTGGATGAAGATTTTTCAAAAAACAAAACCATATTTGGCTATGTACTTCTATTTCCCAACATTACAATTGAGTTCCCCTGGGGCAAGACATCTCCTGTTAAATGCTGTACTTTGTCATTATCATGTGGCAATGAACAAGAGAGTGGTCTTCAGATGTCCCTCAGTTTGTTCTCTGTCCCTCATCAATACTTCAGTCATTGTAGCAGAATTTTCAGTCTTAATCTAGCAAAGACTCGGTGATATACAGTGTGTGTGACATGCATTATTCAAATACACAACATCCTCCCTCTTGCCACCTCTTTTCCACTTGCTGTCCTCTCTTTGAAGCCACCTCTGGTGCTTCCTGGCCTCAAGTGCATGCCATTTTACGAGAAGAGACTTGTATCAAATTACCATTTGATTTTTTATGTCTTATTTATATCTTATTCTAATTATTAGCTTGAACCATATAAAATTATCTGGTTTGACTCAAAAACAATTACTTTATAGTGTGAATTGCTCGTAAATTGGAGGCTTTCTGAATTACTAATTCAGGAGATGATGCATTGTATCTGCAGAGATACCCGTCCTCTTGGGACATCTGGTTAATCCATCATCTCTTCTGCTGCTGTTCCTTTTCCCAAAAAGTTATGAAGAATGATCATTGGTGCTTATCAGCTCTTCTTGTCTGCTATAATTTCTGATTTTTTTGGTACTTACTTGGCTGCTTTGTGGTACATCTTGTGTCTGTCCTTGGAAATGGAAATAAAGTGTTATCCCTGCTTATACGTATAGTGAGAAATTAATATGCTTTGCTTTAGAGAAATATTTATTCTACAGGTGAAAATGAGCAAAGTTATCTACAGAGAAATGCACAGTCATAACCTATAGAGCAAGATAAACATAATTGAAGCAGAGTCAATACAATACATGTTGGTATTTTAATAAATGTGATAGCGAGGTCCTAAACCCAGTGTGTTCGATTCTGATACCTGAGTCTAGAAGCAATCTGAATACAAACCTTGTTTTGGGAAACAACGTTTGAATAGAAGGGCAATTACTACATATTATCGGTCCTCATTATTCAGGGGTTCCATATTTGCAGACTTTTCTACTCATTGTAACCTGTCTCCTCCAAATATGTACCCTCTAAACATTCGTGGCCAATTACGGACACATGCAAACTGCACAAAATTTGAGTCTTTGCAAGCACACACTCCCAGCTGAGGTGAAACAGCACAATTCTTTGCCTTCTTGTTTCAGCTTCCATACTGCAAACAAATGTCCTTTCACTGGCCTATGTAGTATATTTTTAAAAGAATTTTTGTGCTTTCTGTTGGTAATTTTGCTGTTTAAAATGGTTCCCAAGCATAGTGGTCAATTCAGTCTGTTAGTGTCCTAAGGGCAAGAAGGCTTATGAAATACCTTCCCAGGAAAATCTATGTGCTACTTACATTCCTTCGGATATGAACTATGGGGTTATAGGCTATTATTTCAAATCTAATGAGTCAACAACATATATTAAAGTATCTTTAAACAGACACACACTGTCTGTTTAGAAACAGTTTATCTTAATAGTCAGTTGGCAATATATTGTGACCAGAGGCTTTCAGGAAGCTATTCCTATATTTTCAGGAACCTATTCCTGATTTTTCCCTAGAATTGTGGTCCAATAGTCACTAATTCACTGTCTGTGGCTAGTTTAGAGAATGTAACTACTGTGACTACTGAGAGTTGACTTTAAAGTGCATTTTTTTTTGATTGGTTTTCAATCCTTGACCAAGTTGACATTTATGAGCATTACACAAAAAAGCAAAACATACACCAATGAAGAAAATGTAGTTTTGCCTTTGAAACAGAAAAGAATGTTGTGAGAATATAATTTGATACGTATTCATGCAAGTAGAGAAGTGTAGTTCCACACAGCAATTAAGAAATAAAAGTAATGAGGTTGTGCTTGCTATCCATTACAAAAACAGCCAAAATTTGTTATCAGTATCAATATTATTGAGACATAGATCAACTATTTTCACTTATATGTAAGGAGATCGTAATTTAAAACTTATTTCTGGGTAAATAGATTGTAGTCACGAATGACCTAGACAAGGTACCTGGGAAGGGATACTAGATACTCAAAAATTATTGTGATCATTGCCCATTGATAAAATCACTGTTTACTGTGGGAAATCAAGAAAAATGCCAATTGCTCTTTGGTGTTGCCTACTTGAGCTTTGAAAATTAGCCTAAATAGATAATTAATGAAAGACTGCTCCTTTACCACTTCAAATGTGTACAAACTATGAAGAGAAATGGAGATAAAGGATGACTCTTGTTCTCAAAAATATAAAAAGAAAACATTTTTAATAATCAAGTATAAAAATGGAAATATGCAAACAGAAAAATTAAGACTTTTTTTTACTTTGCATTCTAATCTAAACCAGTCTTTTTTTTTTTTCCCCTCCAGCCATTTGCACAGACCCTGTCTCTCATTTTCCACTGATCTCTAGCTTTTATTTTTCTTTCTTTCTGAGAATTCGAAGAGTCTAAAGTTGTGACAATATTAGATTAGCAGAAGCAATACAAATCTTTGAGGCAAAGAATTAAAATACTTCAATTCCAAAATTTCATTAATTATTAGATGCACTGTCAAGCTCATATGCTTTTTGAAGTAAAAGATATCTCACATTAAATATGTTTTGTATAATCTAACAATCACATTTTTGCATAATTTTCTCTCATTTTCTTAATTTCTATAATCAAACTGATTCAAAACTTTGTATTTGTAGACTCAGGATTTTTCTGTATCTCTTTTTACCATTAGCACCTACAAAGGACAACACAAATACAATTTTCTTTCCTTATCTAGTGCTTCAGTGTTGTACCTGATTATTACCTTTAGGAATGATTGTGTAATTTTAAATGAGATATCAAAAAATAGCAGAGAAAATTTTGTACACATTTCTGTCAAGCTGGACTTAGCTTCACTTTTTGAGTAACTGGGTAACAGTTAAAAACCATCTCTTATATGTTAAGAATTGTGAAGTGTCTGAGACTTCGCCTGACTAACACCAGCTGAGGAGTTACATTTTCATTGGTTCGTGATTACTGGGTCAGAGATGAAGGAGAGTTTATTACTAATAGTGATAGCAGTGGCCATTAATTAGTGTTATGAACAGTTCCTTGAGCCCCAATCCCACTGGGTAGCAATGAGAGGACTACAAAATGTGTGGGTAGCATTATGGGAGAGGAAACATGAGGGCAGCCAGCACATCTGTCCTGAGAGAGAGAGAGACTGAGAGTCAATCTTTACCTTCCAAGGCTGCCCACTATGTAAACAAAGGGTAATCAGTGACTTGCTCACAAGGTCTGAAGAAATGTAAGAGAACCATGGAAAATTGTCACCCAACAAAATCCACCCATCGTGTCTACAACATCATGTCTTAGAAAATTTTCCAGGGAGTATATCACTTTGTCAGAAACTCTGATTAATCTGGCTGACAGAGGCAGGGACCAAGTCTGTTCAATTTGTCTCATACAGTTTTTAATTAAGGTTACTGCCAAGAAGTCTCCAAGTAAAAAGATGAGACCATTGCAATAATGCTCACAGCCATGTCTCCCAGGATCCAAGAGTTAAGCAATGAGTAAGTTCTACAAACTACCTGGGAGACCTTGGAAAGCCAGGTGACCTTATCCTTAAATTTTTGTGTAATCTTTTCATTCAACAGAAACATTAGTGAAACAAAACAGGATATACTAGTGACTGCACAGACATCCACCTTGGCCGTACAATGAGGAAGTTTAGGGGCAAACCCATCATTCATAACAACCATGGGCATGAGTAGAATGAAGCTGAGCTGAGTGACTTCCAGGGCTCAAGGGGCATCACAGCGAAAGTCATGGAGAATTGTCTCCCAATAGTCTATAGAATCCCAATACTTTGGCAAAGATTTCCAATGCTAGAATGATACTTGAAGACATCAATCTTTCCTAACTGAGATTTCTACAATATCTTCCTAGAATTTTGGCAATGTCTACAGCCCAGAGTGGCACTGCTGGCAGCATTGCTCATTTCCAGCTTTTTGTTTCAATAGGGAATTTAATAGAATTTCATGGAAGATATTTTAATCCACAATAACTGTTATAAAATAACACTGCAAGTTAACTTCTTATGGAAATACCAGTGAAGAGAACTCAAATATTTTGAGGATCAAATTAAAAAAATCCTTCCCTTAGCGACTGTTTTCACCTGGACAGTGAAAGACTAGTTCTAGGGCATGCATAATTTATTCCTTCCCTCATAGCAGATATGTTTCTCAATTTCAGAAACACTAAAACATAAAACTACATACAAGCATCCTAGAATTGGAGGGAATATGGAAAATGTGGGTGTTTTAGAATCCTAGGGTGAAAAAGACAAGAATATTTTAACACTTAAAAGGTGAAAGGGAATTTAAATAATCTTAATCAAATATCTTTTGACACACTTTCTTTTCTTTTCACAACTCCTACTATAAATAACTTTTTAGCCAAAATAACACATAATGACATTTTAAATAACTGCTTTAGTTTTTGAAAAGATCCTAAAATCATTTAAAGTCAAGGGCAGTTGAAGACTTTCTGGATCTATGTGTGAGTCTTCAGTGTTATTCATGGCATTCTGAATTTCCTCTTAAACGATTTTGCCAGAGAACTAAATCTGTCAATAACAAGAGGATTCTGTTCTCCACCAACATAAAAGTACAAATGGAGGAAGTCAGTGTCTCTCACGCATTCATCCTCCACGAATACATGCAAATGGTATTCTTTCTAAAGTGAATCAGATAAAATTCATAACAACTAGAGATACATTTATTTGCTATTCAAATATTATCCTTGCATAATACAGTGTGCCTTCTGTGTACTAATTACACATGAAGATAAAAGGAGGGCTTCATATTATCAAGAACTACATAGATATATTTTTCTATTATGTGCAAACATACATATTGTGAAACCAGAACACCAACATGTTACTTCCTCAAAATAATTAAATTTCATTTTTACAGCAATAGAATTTAATTGCAGTTGACATTTTTTAAAGCCAATACCCGTTTTCATCAGAGACAACTATAATTAATCTTTCCATATTGGATGCTACCAAGCCCAAAGGAGAAAAAGCAAGATTATACAACTTTACATAGGAGGCGAAAAATTAATTCTTGGCTTCTTCACTTCTCTTTCTTTTTGAAATGTTAATAAAGCATTTTTGAATTGTCTCTTAGCAGATATTGTAAAATCTACACTCCATAGGTTGAAACACAACCCCCTAAGTGACATCCACTCATGATTTCCCTCATCCTTGAAACTTGCAAGTATTAAAATGCAAAAGAAAATGTGGGGGGAGGTGTCTTCACAGATATGATAAATGAAGGCTCTTGTGATAAGGAGCGTATCTTGGATTATCCAAGTTGTTCCTAAAGGTAATCATATGTTTCTTTATGAAAGGGAGGAAGGTGGAGACTTCAGAGAGAAAAGGAGAGGAGAAGGTGGAAAGGAGATGGAGTAAGAAGAGATTTGGATATTCTTAGTAGAGTGATGTGGCCCAAAGTCAAGGAAAGCCAGAAGGAATGTGACGTCATCAAGCTCTCCCCCAGAGCCACTAAGGGAGTGCACCCCACCACCTCTCGATTTCAGCTAATTTTGGATTTCTGGCCCCCGAACCTGTGAGGGAATATCCTCTGTATTCCCTTAAACCATGTGTGGTGATTTGTTACGGCAATCACGGAAGTAATACATATACATACCCACATATACATTCAAAGGGAAAGGCTAAATGTCACAGCAAAATTTGCTTAGAAATTAAGGATAGAACTAGACACCTTGATATTTCCTATATCATCCTCATAAGTTAAGGGGGCATTCCTTTATAAACCAGGCTTTTGAGTGGGGCAAGGTTGTGGACAGAGTTCCCCTCAGCAGGCTATCCAACTTGAGTCCCCAGGTGTTCAGAAACACTCCAAGAGGGTGTTTGGAGCCTCACCTTGCAATCCTGCTCTCTAGTAAGAGTGGGGCATGCTTGGGTGTCCTGCCCCAGTGAGCTGGCTCTTTGGATTACATAGGTCACCAGGTACCTGGTGAGAACTGATGAAAAGTCTGGCTGACTTCAGACATTTAACCTGATATAAATACAGGAATCAATGTACTTTCAGTGTGCTTTGTCTTGAACTCGAGTACAGTGTTTGCCAGGGAGTGGCCTCTGTCCTCACCTGCTCATCTGTGCTCCAGCAAGAGTGCTAGTAGGTGGGTCCCACAGACCTTCCCCAGGGACACAGGAAAGCAAGCCTGGGAATGGACAGGACAGGCAGCAACTTCCCCAAACCAGAGAACATCCTTCTTCCAAACCCTGCTTTTTCTAGTCTGGCTTCCTCAGGTCCTGTCACAACTTTGTCCCCTGACCGAGCAGGGCTGGGATTTCAGACACTGTGGGAAGAGGCTGACTTGGCAGTGAGCAAGGCCCAGATGTCATTTCCAGCTCTCTCTTCCAAGCAAATCACTTCTACTGTCCACACATCACATAATGGGCAGCAAAGAAACTTGGGGAAAAAAGAGACATTATGTACATGTCAGTAATTGTATTGATCTGCTTAGGCCACCCCAACAAGATAGCACAGATGGATTACTTAAATAAAGGATATTCTTTTTCTCACAGATCTGCGCCTGGGAGGTGGAAAATGAAGATGCTGGCAGCTTCAGTGGCTGCTGGGAGCTCGCTCCCCACCTGCAGCAATCAAGTCTCAACCTGTCCCCTCAGGGCTCAGCTCTCATCACCATATTCAACCTGACCTCCTTGTAGACTCATCTCCAAACACAGCCTCGAGGGGGTTAAGACTTCAGCACATAGATGTGGGCAGCACGATTCAGTCTAGATCACAATCACCACAAATTCTTAGTCTATTTTTTCACCAACTGTATTTTAAGTTGATTCCTTTGAAATGTTGCCTATAATTATTTGATCTTCAAAATGAGCAGTTTTATATGGTTCGGCCGCATCATTAGGCTAGTGTTTTCCTCTGCAGCTGATCATCCTTGGCCACAGTGAGGTTGTTTCTATCGGGGGAGCCTGGGTACCAGTGTTGGAAGTAGAGGGCAAGTCTATACTCCCTCTATGCACATCCCCATGTTCAAAGAAGTTTGGAATTAAACAGAAAATGAAAACACAAATTCCATAGTAGGTTGAGCGACCATGGAAGAAAGGAAATGGTTTTATCCTGACATCTGAACAGGATACCCCACACTTATTTTTTTGTGTGCTCAGTCCCATAATAGTTTGGAGCCAGCCTGAGGGTCAGACAATAGAAATGTTCCAAGACATCTGCCTCCTGACTTACAGACCCTGTCCCTTTCACTTTGAGTTCTCTTGGGCTCTTATTCTATGCACTTATGTATCCCCAGAAGGGGAAAGAAAATGGCAGATGGTGGGTGAGAGGGTTTTTTGGTCAATCTGGAAAGGATGCCCACCATTTCCCTCATATCCACTGGCTTGGATTCAGCTTCATGCCACCCTTGTCTGTGACCCGTGTGCAACCCACAAAAGAGGCAATGTTTGAAGGAAGGCTCATTTTTCCCAGATGACCACCTGCTTTCTGAATACCCATCTCAGCTCTTACCCTCATTTCTCCTAATTTCTTACTTCATCTTCCCCCCACAAGCATGTAAATTTGGTGAGAGGAAAGGGTTTGTGTCTCTTTCTCAATGTTGCATCCACAGTGCCTAGAATCCAATTGCCTTATAAGGTGTTGGTTGTGAGGTAGTGGTCAAGCTTCATTCTTTTGCATGTAGCGACCCAGTTTTCCCAGCACCATTTATTGAACAAATTTTCTTTGCTCCAATGCATAGTCTTTGCTCCTTTGTCAAAGATTAGTTGATCATAAATCTGTGGGTTTATTTCTGGATTTTCTATTCGATTCCATTGGTCTGTATGTCTGTTCTTGTTCCAATACCATGCAGTTTTGATGATTATGGCTTTGTAGTATAGTTTGAAGTCTGGGAGTGTGATGCCTCCATTCCCTTCTTTTTTTTTCAGGAGAGCTTTGGCTATTCGGGGTTTTTTGTGATTCCATATGAATTTCATCAATAATTGTTCTATTTCTTTGAAGAATGACATTGAAATTTTGATTGGCAAAAGATGTTTATCAATTAAAAATTAAATCTTTATTTTGAAGAAAAAAAATAAGGTCTTGGTTGACTGGCTGACTGAGTGACTTGATGAGCAGGTTCCAGCCCATTTTCTGCTGCCCACACAATGTTGATACAAATCTCCATCTCATTGGATTCTGTCGACCCCCTTACTAAATTTCATCTACATAGCCAGCACAGTCTCTCTGTTCCTCAAACTTGTCTTCCTTCTTCTGATCTATAAGAGCTTCTTAGGACTCCCATTTCTGTTCCAGAAACATACTGCAGGAAATGAAGTGGCAGATGCTTCCAAGAATTCGACATCTTCACCTTCAAAAGCACATTCATAAGAAAAGTGATGAAAGTATGGGAGACACCAGTTTGTAGGTGCATGAACTGGCATAAAGATTCAGGCTTTTATGACTTGCTGATAAAGTCAGAACATTTTTGTGTATCCACCACAATCCTGTGCTGCAGGAATTGTTACCCTCACATCATAAATACAGAAACCTGGGTTCTAAGAAGGCAGGGCACTTGTCCAGATTTAGATAAAAATTAAGTCATAGAGTAAAGCCATCTTCTCAGGAATGTCTCATTGTAAAGTGCATATCATTTATTCATTTGTGATTCCACATTTTTTTTAAAAACACTTTTTTTTTAAGATTTATTTTTATTTATTTATACAAGCACTGGGTACAGTCAGAAGTGCTGGAGGGTGAGAGACTTCACCAGAGCCAGAGCAGGGAGAAGAACAGGCAGAAGGAACGAAGCACACTGCTGAGGGGAGCAGCGGGTGGCAGGAGAGGTCTGCGTGCCATGTGGGACCCTCCTCTGGTGCCTGGCCGGGGAGAAGCCCGGGATCGAAATCGAACTGGTGCTGCAAAGGCTGCGGACAGCTTTGTAACCCAGCGCTCAACCGCTGTGCCACCAGGGAGGCCCCAATTCAACATTTTTGAATGAATGATGGAGAGAGACATAAAACATATTTAGATATATAAAAAGCATGGACAAAGCAGTAGGCAATCCTCCACAGTAAAAACTGTACAAGGCGGCTTTTTGGTTGAAAATGAACTTGAATATTCCTATTACTATCAATTTCCTGGGCCCTCCCTAGTGGCACAGGGGTTGAAATCTCAGCACTGTCAAGCTATTGCCAGCCACTGTGGCATGAGTTCCGTCTCCAGCCAGGGAGCTGACCCACATGGTGCAGCAGACCTCTCCTGTCTCACCCGCTGCTCCCCTCAGCAGTGAATTTCAGTAGATCTACCTGTTCTGGTCCCCACTCTGTCCCTGGTGAATCCTCCCATGCTCTGCACCCTTGGCCTACACCCCAGGTCTTATATGCATAAGTAAAATAAATCTTTAAAAAATATATCAATTTCCTGATTACTTGACTTCATTAATGGGTTTTTCAGTAAAGGGAGAAGTAGAAGATATTTGCTCTCAAGTGACCCCCTCCCCACGAAATCTCCAGCCTCCCACATTACCTTCTGAGCCTCACAGAGCATTTTCCCCTCCAGGGACAGATTTTTTAAGGCAGGCGGAATGCTCTCCATCAAGGCATTTGGACACACAAATGTTTAAATTATGGCATGTAGGTCACTTACAAAAAGAGGACAACTATTTCTGGTAACATTTTTAAATTTATTGTGATGAGTCAAGGCTAATGCAAGGTGAACCCCTCCTTTTACCATCATCTGCACAGCTACATTAGCTCATCCATGTATTAAAAAATGGGTCTCTGGACAGTAAGTTGGCAATTTGGCAAATTGCTCATGTATAATGCAATATAAGACAGTCTAGTTTCAACTCAAACTGATTCCAGCTAGACTTTTCATGAATGATTTTGATTTTATCATAAAATATCATGTGTTTATTCAAAATGGGAATGAAAAAAATTCCAGCTATCTAATAATTTTTATTACTACTAGCTCAATTTTTTTTATTGTCACATGAAAAGAGCTTACTTTTCACTGGATGGATTAATTATGGGTTTTTTGTTTCCTGAAAAACAAACACATTCATCTAGGATGCTGACTTTATTTGGCTCTTTTCATGCCATGTGCTTTATCAACCTCTGCATCTATGAGATGGATGGGTTCTAAGTCCCTTGGGACAAAGGATTGCTCTTAAATTTGTGTGCACAACTGTTTATTCACCAGAATCTTTCCCACTCAGGAGCATTTACATTTAAACCATTGTTTTGAAGAAACTTTATGTTAATGAATCCCATTTTCTCACTTCTTTTTTTCATAATTAATGAGGTATATTTTTTAGAATAATGTTATGTTTGCGGAAGAGTTGAGCAGGTAGCACAGAGAGATCCCATGTATCAGTCCCCTTGAGCCCTCTCCTTCTTCCAGTTACCTCTATTATTAATATCTTGCATTAGTGTAGTACCTTTGCTATCATTGGTGATCCAATATTAATACATTATTAATCATTAAACCCTGTAGTTTATTTTACATTATGGCTCACTCTTTTGTGTTGTACAGTTCTGAGTTTTGACAAATGCATAATGTCATCTATCCACCATTATAATATGCAGAATAGTTTCACTGTCAAAAACTTCCCTGGCAGGGGCCTCCCTGGTGGTGCGGGGGTTAAAGACAGCACTATCAAGCAGCCACTGCAGCATGAGTTCATTCACTGGCCGGCCAGGGAGAAACCCACATGGCGCAGCAGACCTCTCCTGTCTCTCCCTCTGCTCCCCACAGCAGTGTCTTTCAGTCAGTCTGCCTGTTCTGTTCCCTGCTCTGTCTCTGGTGAATCCTCTCACCCCCTGCACCTGTGGTCTACACCAAAGTTCTTGTATGCATAAATAAATAAATCTTTAAAAAAAAAAACCCTGAAAACTCCCCTAGGTCTTCAACCCTTCTCTCCTCCCACTGTTAGTTTTTTTTCTCTTTTCTCTGTATGCACCCAAGTTTGCATTGAATTTTCATTTGAATTTTAAACAGGTCTGGCATATTATAAGTGCTGATCCCATTTTATTTTCTTGTAAAGTTAATTTCCCTTTCCAGTTTCATTCATTATTCGTTCATATATTTATTGACAAATTTTTCTTTTTTTCAAATTAATTTTTGCATAGAAGAACTGGGGTATAGGCCAGAGATGCAGGGGGTAGAAGGATTCACCAGAGACAGAGTGGGGAGCAGAACAGGCAGGTCTATTGAAATACACTGTTAAGGGGAGCAGCAGGCTAGACAGGAGAGGTCTGTTACAACCTATGTGGGTTAACTCCCTGGCCAGGGATTGAACTCAGGCCTTAGTGGTGATAGCACAGATATTAACCTCTAGGCCACCAGAGAGGCCCTTATTGACAAACTTCTATGGAGCATTTGCTTTGGAGCAGGGATATTATTTGTATTGAGGTTATAGTAAAAAATGAGACAGATCCACTCTGCCCTTACAGATGATTCATGATTCATGATTCTATTTCCTTAAAACTACAGTAGGAGAAAAGCCTCTATGTGCCATTCCAGGGTGAGAGGTAATTAAATCCCCTTTTTTGAGGTGTTGCTAAAAGCAAGTGTTTGCTTTGGCACCTAAGAGGATATGGGCTTGATACTGTATTTGGATGACTAAGGCAGCAGCTGGTATAAGAATTTAGCAACACCAACTTTTTGGATATGAGCCCCTGGGAAGGAAGACTCTCATGTCTACGTTCCTCCCATTTCATCCATACTGAGTTCTTCACAAATTCAGAATTCAGAGGTAGGTGTGGTTACACCTACCTCCCTCATCTACCACCAAGGCCCATCCCCAAGAGAGCACTGTGGGCCCATTTATCACCCAGAATCATTGTCACATGACAGGCAATGAGGAGGGACTTCATGGGACTTCTAAATCCATAGGTGTTTAGAATGAAAGCACATCTCTCTTCATTAAGACCTTCCAGAAGGCAGTAACTGCCAGCTTCCAGCTTGTTTATTGAAAGTCTTGTAAGGATAATGATGATCATAATGACACAAAAAGAGAGGAGATGACTACATTCACTTTAAACCATTTCTCTCTGAGAAATAAATGATTTCCAAAAGGATACATTTTCCTCCCATTATTATATGTGAAAAAATGACTACATTCATTTCTATTATTTTGTTCTGAGTTTTCTTCAAAATTTCAGGGGTCAGGGGAAACCTCTGAATTCTTCAGGGAGAGGTA